CGTCACTAGCTGCAAGATAGGAGTACGTACTTGTTGTGGCGGTTGCAGAAGAGCAGCTGAGCAAGAGTAAGCACATAGGACAGCCGGGCCGTGTCGTAGGGGCAGTCCTGGCAGCCCGGCTCGCAGAAGCTGCAGAAGGCCTCGTGTGTGAAATGGAGCTCGCTTGCTGCCTCCTCGTTGAGCGGATTGATCTTTTCCGCATCTTGCAGCAGGAGGGCTGCCGCACCACCGTTCTGCTTCAGTGCGCTTCTCGTCGCATGGTAAATCTTACCAGCATTTCGAGAGACCACGTTCTTTCGCGAAGATGTCGAAGAGGCGGCAGACCTGCTCGTTGCGTCCTGTTCATATCCCGCTTCGTCCGCCTTTGCTGCATCGTTTTCATCGCTCGAATCTAGATTGCCAGCCGCCGAGGATGCAGATGTAGACGAGGATGTGGATGTTGAAAGAGCGGGAAACGCAGGTAAAACAGAAAAGAGATGCTGTCGACACGATGAAGAAGGCGGAGGGACGAGGAACGAGAGAACGACGAAGAAGCTGTCGCTGTCGGAGAGGGAAAGCTGACACAGGCAGCGATTCGCGACCGCCAAAGCCTCATCGACGTCGGCACGAGTCCACTCGGCCACCTTTATTCACGGTTAGGCACCCACCAAGGAGGAAGAGTTCCAGTCGGACGCACCAGTTGAGCTTTGGCGCTAAGGCCCTGGGGCACCTGGCGTAGGAAGTCGGCCGTCGAGGGCGCGTCTCGTCGATAGAGCAGCACTTCTACTTGCTCCAGCACCTCCCTACACGATGTAGACTCTCGTGAGCTCTTGCAATGCACAAAGGCCCTGATAAGCAAACAGGAGGCCGTACTTGAGCAGATCCCCGTTGGGACAAGATGCAAGAGGGTGCTCCATCTTCGAACGTTTCGCTCTCGTCTATTCCTGCTTCTCCTACGTCTTCTTGTCTCGTGTAAGCAAGTGTGCACCAACGCGCCACACCATCGATTCGGTCTAGCGCCGGGTTGGTGACTCCACGGCAACTCCCCACAGCGCCCGGCTTCCCGCCGTTTTTCTCGGCCGCCGTCTGTGTAGGCCGTCGCCCGTCAACAACAAAGTTCTACGCATCACTGCAACACACGGGGAACGAGACACAGACGCGGTGTAGCGGTGATCATATTTGTTGTTGTTGTGTTGTTGTTGTGATGTTCTTCTTGCCTGTCTACTAGGCGCTGCTTGCGCCTCTAATCTTTGCGATCTGCGCACGGTAGGTGGCCACGCCACCGCTCACCTCCTCATCCGACGGACCCGTGTCGGAAGTCAACCTGTACCAGCGACGAGAGAGACAGCCAGCATCAGTACGGCCACCAAAAGGACAGGCGTTGTCGATGGGGCGGGGCGTACTCGCTGACGGGCGCTTCAAGCAAGTGCTGGATGGCCGCAAGCGACTTGGCCGGAGTCACACGCAGAGCGCTCAGGATGGTGCACAGGTAACCTGCCAGCCAGCCAATAGGTGGCACATCAGTGACACGTGATAAAGCAGTCCGGAAGGAAGGTCGGTGGTGGTGGCCGTACGAATGTCGGCCGCGAGCTGCAGCGAGCCCTGGTTTGTCAGCTGAGGAATCTCGAGAATGCGCTGGACATAGAGGGACATCGTTCCACGAGATACGGCATTGATCCACGCCCACGCGAAGTCTGCAACACACACGCACGCACACAAGCGAGTGAGCCGCTGGTGGGTCACAAATAAGTGCACGCAGAGCGCGTACCGGGACCCTCTGAGTCATTCTCGTCCTCAGCAGACTCGGCAATTCCGCCCCCGGGCGCCAAGGACAGCGAGGGATGGGTGGCGGCAAACGGCTCCAGCTGCTGCGGCAAGTCGAACAGATGCTCGCCTTTGTTTGAACAAAGAAGAGAGAATTGCATCATGAGCGTTTCGTCATCGTACTGTGGCAAAGCTGTCAGGCTGGTCGAGGGCAGTACCGATATGGGTGATGTAGCTGAGCGGCTGCTTGCTGAAGGTGGGCACCTCCACGTTGGCCACCTTGGTCTCGTCTTGCTGCTGCCATGCCTAAAGAAGCCAAGAATATTTAGGTATTATTATTATTATTATTATTATTATTATTATTATTATTAAAAACAAAAAGTAGTCGAATGGAAACGTACGGGCAGAGTGGGAAACTGCGCGAGCTGCTCCTTGATGGACTGGAACATGGTGTCATACACGAAGGACTGGCACGACGCATTCAGCGACGTCAACTGCTGCGACGGGACGGGCAGCAACTTGACGCCCACTGTTGTGGGTAAAGCAAGGTTGCCAGGTTAGTCCGCTTACTCGTGCGCGTCGGCATTGGTTCAGTCCGCAACGTACCATCTTCGAGACTCTGGAAGAAGCCCCAGAGACGCCTCGCCTTCTCCGGCTCCTCGCGCAGGTGAATGCATGGAATGGCCTGGTAGGTGGCGCTGCACGACGGCGACCCGCGAAGTCAGCAAACCACATGCAGACGACGAGGTACGAAAGTAATAGCACACATACTCCTTCTGGACCTGGAACTGGGTCCCGAAGAGCCCGCCCCGGAGGCTGGCCAGAATCGAGCGCAGCTGTCTGTCGAAGCCGGACATACTGTCGGCCAGCGTGGAGGCCTGGACAATATCATAATGCACGTCACGTAAATCATTTGCCCAAAAAACGAAACGAAACGAAACGAGAAACAAAGTGGTTGCGTACAATTTGGAGCAGTTGAAGGGCGCCCTGGAAGTAGGACCAATCGTGCTCCTGGTGCATTTGAGCTCCCCGAGATGCCTGTCTGGCGTGGCGGCCTTTGCACCACGGAGTGCAATGAAGATGTGTCGTGTCAAATGAATGCAAACAAGAAGGATTGATTCTTCTTGGTACAGTCTGTACCGGCTGCGGGCTGGCCGCCGGCGGTGTCGGGACCGATGTCCAGGTGGGCAGCGATCCGCAGGTGCTGCAGCACGTCAAACAAGTGCTGCACGTACTTGACCAAGAATTCCTGCAATGTGCGCACAATTGGCGTGAGCCGCGGGTTTGCGGTGGTTGAGAGCGATTGTAGGGACAACGTACGGAGAGTACGCGCAAGAGGCCTTCCGCTTCCGAGCCCTTGGTGAACTGGACGCAACGATCGATGGCGGCCTCGGCCACCAGGAAGAGCTTGGACGCCGAATTGTCGACCAGGCGCAGCGTTTCCGCAAAGCCAGCACACGCCTGGGCTCGCACAAGCAAAACCTATGGGTCAGCTCTGCGCTGCCCAAGCTGGCGCGGCGGTGGAGGAAGAAAAGCTGCGGTACCGGCTTGAGGGTAACCAGCTCTTGGGTGAGATTGGTGGCCTCCAGGTTGGCGTAGTCCTTCTGGTAGGGGAAGTAAGGACAGAAGATGGCCCGCACCACTGCCTGCGCTGCCTCCACCGCAACGCTGGAAGTCGCATCTGGCAAACGAAACGTTTCGTTTCAGCAATCAAGAATTCTTCCATTCAAAAATTTCAAAACAATATTGTACAGAAATCATAATCATAAATCATAAATCATAAGCTGCGTACCCTGAAGCCCGAGGCTGGCGAGGACGGTCAGCGAGAAGTTGCTGGTGACGGTGTAGGCGGCGATGAGCTGATTCAGCAGCACGCTGCCGCTCGAGCCCGACGAGCCCTTCCCGGTGGTGGGGTTCTGCTGCAAAATCTCGTCGATCCTCTGCCGGAACGACTCGGTGAGGGTGGAGAGGACGTAGGCGGCGAGGGACGGCAGCACGTGCGGATCCGTCGGGAACACTTGGGCCACCCACGTTTTCTACGCCAGCGAAATAGAAGACGACTATGTCAATGGAATGCGTCGTATGTGTCGTGTCATCCAGCTCAAGGTTGTCGTTGGTCGTGTCGTTGGTCGTGTCGTGTACCTCGTGGTTGAGAGTGGCCAGCACGGAATCGTAAAACGAGGGGAGCCAATCAACAAACGACGAGCTGCTGCGCCCGGCTTCGGGCCGCTTGAATGTATGCCACTGCTGCTCGAGCGGGACCAAACGGCACCTACATATACCGCCATCCACACCCATCAGCATATGAAGGAATTTTGCTGGAATGTTGTTCACATCATATGTACACACAAACCTGTAGTAGTGCTGCTGCAGCTGCTTCTTTCTGTCGATCTTCTGGAACACGTCCACGAAGTTCAATGTGGCCTCTGGCGCATGACAACACCAAAATAATGGGGTGAGCGGGTTCCCGACCGAAAACGCGGGAGATGGTATCATCAATCGTCATCGCACCGGTTTCGTGTTTGTTGAAGGCCGCGAGCAGATGCGGCCGGGTCATGCCCTCGAGTCTGTCCTGATAGAGCATCAGCTGGCGCTGGTTGTCTTGGAACTGAGGAATCTCCTTCAGTATGTCCAAGCTCTGCTTCATCCCGAGTATGTGATCCGCAATCTGTGTGCGCGAGGTCACAGAAATGTGTAAGCCATCATCCCGCACTGATCGCTTCGCACACGCACACGCACACGCACCACCGCACACGCACCACCGCACACGCACACGCACAAGCAGGAAGGAGCGCGTACACGGCGGAAGTCGTTGGTCCTAAAGACATTGTCCACGTCTTCGGAGAGGCGCTTCAGCTTCTCGGCTTCCACGAGAATGCTGGAGCACTTCTCCATCGACATCTTCACCGTGTCGAGAGCCGCCAACACCTCGAGAGAATTGTCTGCGTTGCCCTCGATCTGAAGCGTTACCACCGGCACACGGCACACACAACGCACAACCGCACACGCACAGTGAGTCACACTGCGCTAGTCAGTTGGGCGAGCGGAGCACCTTTTCGAGCGTTTCCGCAAACGAAGTGATTTGGGTTTGCAGGGCCGAAGCCTCCTTGCGCACGCTCTCTATGCTCCGAATGGACCTGCAGCACAGATACACATAGAACCCGTAAAAGATGAGAGAAGGGCATAAGAAAGAGAAAGAGAAGGGAGGAGTGTCACTTGGGGATGTTTCTGAGTGACTTGGCCGAGAACTCGCGCAGGGAGTGGTTGAGTTCAGAAGACAACAGCTGCAGCTTCAGCACCAGCGTGGACACATAGGTCTGCAGCCAAAAAAGAGTGAAGTGAGTTAGCTGACCCACTCCTTAGCTCGCGGCGGAGGCATGCGCCTCAGTACTGGGAGAGGACAGAATAGCAGTGGGAGGGAATTACGTCGGTTGGTTCGTTGATGCTGGGATCCAGCGTTTTGTTCACCCACGCCTTCAGATCGAAGTCCTCTTTTGTGAAATCGGCAAAATCCTAATGCGTGGAAAGCGTTGTCAGCTCCTCCTTTTTTCATAATGTCCCACAGCCCTACTGAAAGATGCAGATGTACGCACCATCTTGAGCACGCGCAAAATCTGTCTTTAGTTTCTTTACGATTTACGCCTGTTTTCTCATTGCCTTTCTTTCTCAATAAAATTGGTGTCGACAAACCAATCAGCCGCTTTCTTTCCGCTTATTTCTTTCTTTGTTTCGTTCCTTCGTCTTCTCGCCCCGCACCAGCTATGGCCGCCACGCAGCTCTTGTTGTCCGTCTTGGTCTTGGCGATGGTAGTCCTGCTGCTGTCGCCCACCTTCGGGGATGTGGCTCAACAACCTCCCCTCAAGTTCCGGCCCGATGGCACCTTCCGCATCGTCCAGGTGGACCTCCGCGCCACCTTTGCCCACCTCACACGCCCCGAAGCGCAACACAAATTGGCCGCGGCTGGTTCCCACCCCTCACTCACAGCGCTAACCCAACCATCCTCGATCTGTCGCAGTTCACGGACCTGCACTACGGGGAGGCGGCCGAGTTTGACGTCAATTCGGCGAGGGTGCAGACCACCATACTCAAGATGGAACGGCCCGATCTCGTCGTCATGACTGGCGACTCCGGTACGGATCGATGGTGGGTGGTGCACTCTGGTCTGATGACTGGGATGCGCTGACAACTTTTCTCAATGGCTTGCCCAGTGAGCGGCTATGCGTGGAACGGCAAAGTGCGCCCGTGGTTCCCGCTCCGCTGGGACCAACTCACCGCGCCCATGAAATCGTATGCGAGAACCACATGTGCCAATAATGTAGTATTTCTTGATTGCTGACGTGGCGCTGGTGCCCTTCTCAGGCTGGGCATCCGCTGGGCCTTCGCTGTCGGCAACCACGACGACCAGGGCGACTTCAACCGGTACCTGCCCCACTAGTACGAGCGCCGTCACATGGCCACCTGACCAACGGTGGTGTGGTACCATTGCCGCGGCTCCTACGTAGGACGGAAATTGTGCGGTACGATCGGGAGTCAAGCCAGGGGCTGTCGCTGACCCAATTCGGCCCGGCGGACGTGGACGGCGTCACCAACTACTACCTGCCCGTCCAATCCTCGGCCTCGCAGGCCGTAGCCGCCAACCTGTGGATGTTCGACTCCAACGACGTCAAGTGCCTTGACACCCCAGGTCAGATCTAACACCCGCACTCGCCAACGCAGGTGAAGTTGATCAGGACTGACACGCGTGGCACGCTGCATTGACTTCAATTGCTCCATTTAGGCTGGGGCTGCGTGTATCCGTCGCAGATTGAGTGGTACCGGTCCACCGCGCGTCGGCTGCAGACCGAGCAGGTGCGGCAGAGCGAGAAGGTCCCCGGGCTGGCCTTCTTCCACATCCCCGTCCCGGAGTTCATGCACGTTTGGAACTACCACAACACCAGCGGTCGCCTCCAGGACACTGGGGTACATTACATTTAAAAAACATTTATTTTACAAATAGCGTGATACATTGACGCCATTTCTCTTCTATGTTGCAGGTCTGTTGCTTTTCTGTGAACACGGGTCTGTACGCGGCGTGGCGCGAACTGGACGAGATGGTGTCCTGCCACGTGGGCCACGACCACAACAACGACTTCTGGTATCTGATGGTGCCACGACATTTCATTTCATCACAGCACAGCGCTGACTGACAAATCAAATGTCGACCGTGATCTAAGGGGCGTGTACGGAGGCGTGCGGCTGATGTACGGACGCAAGTCCGGCTATGGCGGCTACGGACCTCCGCCCGGCTGGCTTCGTGGCGCTCGTGTGATCGAGATCCACGAAAACCCCTTCAAGGTTTGGACTTCACTCTCGCTTCTCTTGGCTTGCACCCGGGCGCGAGCATGGCTGATGGCTGCGTTGTTCGCGCATTTATTCAGATGGTGACGTGGATTCGCCAGGAAGACGGCACTGTTGTGCCAGAGTCGAGCCAACCTCTCCACTCTCCCGGCACCAACCAGGTGGGCTCACTCCCCCCTCTTTTATTGGATACATCCAATCACCATCGTCGCCATCATCATCATTCTGACGCCTCGGCAATACAGACCTTTGCGTGCTGTGACTCGCTGGGCAGCACTCGTCCTTCGCAGTGCCACGCCTACGAAACAGCCTTCAGAATGCGCCACTTGTCGTTGTGAGCGTCACGATAAAAATCCGGATAATCACACGCACGACACAACAGAAGATTGCTTCCTGCTCAGCGCGCACCACCGAGCCCGCCATATTGGTTACTGGTCCCCTCGATAAACAACAACAATGTCTTGTCATTACAGAAGTCGGGGCATAGCGCCAGAGCTGATCGTTTTAACTCTCCGCCTCGCAAGGGTGGCATCATGCCGAGAGGAGGTCGACGACCTCCTTCAGGAGGTCGCCGTGTGCGAGGTAGGCCTTGGCTTGAGCCACCATCTGGTCGAGCTCCTCGTCCTTGCACGCTGCCAGGTCGAAGGCCGGACATGGCGGATTGAGGCGCACGTACCTGGCCATCCGACGATGGCTGTTGAGCCAGGCCTTGGCCCGCTGGTGGATCTGCTCTGAGTCCGTGGCGGCCGCAATAATGTCGAACAAGGGCTCCACACTCTTGTGCATGGGTGGCAGCGTCGACGATGACAACGAGGCTGCCGCCGGCGCCTTCTTCGACGCCTTCGCGGCCTGCCACGACTCCACCACAGGCGCGCCCGTGCCGAGGGAGACAACGGAGATGCGACGGCCGGGCCACAGCCGCATCGCCTCAAAGATGGCGATCTCTGTAGGGTTGTTGGCCACCACGCCACCGTCGATGAACTCGTGCTCGCCTGTGTTGTGTGTCGTGTTTTTTGTGAGTGTAAGAGAGGGTGGGTACAACTCTCGCCCCTCCGAGAGGGCAGCGCACCGATCTGGACACTGGGGAGATAGCCAGGCGCAGCGCTGGTTGCCAGCAGGGCTTGAGCGAAGGTGATGCCTCGACCATCGGTCGAGCCCCGGTAGTAGCGGTGGTGCTGGCCCTCCTCCTCATCGCGCGATCCGTACGTCCGGAAGATGAACGGCCCTAGCCTTCCGTCCCGCTTCTGTGCCGACACGACGAAGACCTTGACGCGGAGGTCGTGCAAGCTGTCGAGCTCGACGTGCTCGCCCACAACTTGCTCGACGATCTCTCTGAGCTGTTGGCCGTTGTAGAAGCCCTCCTGTTGGAGGGTGCGGATGGCGCCCCGGGTGTAGTTGCCGAAGCTGTAGCCGAATACCTTCTTGCCCAGGTTGCGGTACATCTCTTCCGCACCATCCACGCCCACCTATGTGCGCGCGTGTCTTACTTACACTGCACCAGAACGAAGGCAGGAACGACGGTGGTGGTGGTGGTGTACCTTCTTCGCAGCAAGAGCCGCCGCGAGGATGCCGCCGGTCGACGTGCCAGCCACCAGGTCGAACATCTCGTCCACCTGTCGATACCACCACGATCAGTGACCCGGTTACCAGAACAGAGGGAAGGAGAGGGGGGGATGGGTGCCTTTTTCCCGGTGCGGGCCTCGAGCTGGCGGATCATTTCGATGAGGATAACTCCACGCATGCCACCTCCGTCCATGCACAGCACCCGGATACGAGGCAGGCTCAGAAGTTCACTGCATGGAGGCGGCTGCGAGAATGCTCGCAGCATGGTGCTCACCGGTGCCGGGAATGAGCCTGCATGTGGGACGACATCGTGTGTGTTGGTGTGGTGTGTCATGTGCGGAATCGAGTGTGTGCCATTATTGGTTACCTGTCTCAGATGGGTCTTGGAAGAAGCACTTGTCCGGCAGAAGACTGGCGTCCCACAGTGATTGGTCTTTTTTGTGCTTTTGTGGTGTGAGTGAGATTGATCGAAACACCAAAACCAAAGGGGGTCAATCGTACCTTTTGGTGGTTGTGGCGCAGCCAGAAGGCACGATCGAACGACTTCAGAAGAGCGCGATCGTCGTCGTCCAGGAGATGTAGGTGGTCTCGGCAGTCTGGTCCAGCTGGGCGTGCGAGTGGAAATCGACGTCCCTAAATCGAGGGAGCGTCGCTTCGCCTCGCTTCAGTTTCTGCAAAAACACACCTGGGGAGGAAAAACAAGAGGTTATCAACGCCGAGCTCCGATCCCATGTCAAAAAAACAGGGTTAACAGCCGAACGCACAGAGTGTGATCGATAGCGCCGTACGTACCGATCTCGCCTTGAACTGGCTTGCTCAAGCCAAGGGTACGGAGCGCGCTGGCGACGAAATGCTGGCACGTGCAGGTGCGCTGGTCGTAGTGCTTGGTCGCGTTCCACACGATTACCTGGTCGGCCAGCTGGTGGATACAAAAGGCGAAGGAGGTGATGTCAGAGACGCAGACGGCAAATCAAAGAAAGGGAACACGGAGGCGTGGTCGGGTAGGGTACCTTGCGGAGACTCTCCATGTCCGCAGGCTGGGTGACATCAAGCACGCCGACGTCGAGTGCCAGGAGGGCATCAATCCGAGTGCAGCTCCTTGGTGTGCACCAGTGAGCCGTCGAACCAGTGAGGCCCCACCTGCAGCGCCGAATGTACCAGCCCGTCCTGGTGGTGTCGTGCGTATGGTGGTGGTGACCATTGGTTATCATCAGCTCAGCTGTTCGTGAACACGAGGAGGAGCGGGGAGGGGGGCACTTCGGTCTTGATTATGCGTCGGACGAGCCACGCAAGAGTGGGGTTCTGGTGCCAGTAGGCCAGATCGACCAGCACGAACTTGACCACCACCCGCTTCCTCATGTCATGCTTGCGTATGCCGTCCTGCGCAGTCGATGACCACTTGATTAATTGGTATTACAGCGTAATTTGGTCGTTACCAGTTTCTTGCGAAAAAGGAAACCTTAAAATTAAAATTAGGGGGGCGGTACAAGCCAGTAGTCGAGAAGGGCGGTCGGCTGGGCGTAGGGTGCGTGGTCGTCTATGCTGAACACAGAGCTGGTGAACTTGCTCGACACCAAGACTGTTGCCTCCTCTTCCGAAATCGTCACTTGGCCGGGCTCCTGGTTCGAGGCAACTCGCAAGCTGGGCACCTCGCTGTCGGCGGGCCTCCGAGGCCATTGTGTGCGTGTGTGTGGTGGTTGTTTGAATTTTGGCCCGTCGGTGGCGCGGACAAACTCGACATTTGGTGGTAATTTTGGTACCATGATACTCCCCCACAGGCCATTGGGCCATGCTTTTTGTGTGGACCCACGGCCGCAGCATAGGTGCGGCCGACTCTTGAGCAAGCAGGCAGTGCATGGTGACTACCAGGGAGCATGCTGCAGCACCGGTTGTTCTACCTCCACCCCCCACACCTGCCGCGCCTGCCAAAGCGCAAAGTTAGCCTGCTTCCGGTACTTTTACCTCCCCCTCTCTCTCTCGCGCTCACGCTAAAACTCACCTCACCTGGCGGCGTTCATGTGCCTAGGGTTTCCATGTCTTTGGAGGAATTGGAGCGAGGTCTCGCTGCCTTGTCGAGAACCAACCCTGGTCCCAAGCCCAAAGCGATGTGGTCCTGCCTGCTGATTTGCACCAGGTGTTCCTCGGCCCAATTGCCCATCCTTTGCGACACCCGGCTGGGCGAGGTCAACTCGGCTGGCTTGCTGGTCGACGAAACGCTGGGCGAGAGGCTGTGGCCCACTTTTTGCCATTGGGACGTGAACTGCGTCGGGGCCAGCGTCAACAACGTGATGTGCCTCGACCTCCGACTTAGTGTGAAGGAGCTAGAGTACGGGTGCGACATGATCAAGACCACACCTTTGGGGGCGTGGACCAGCTTCCGCTACCCCGAGCACGGCCTGCGAGCAGTGCGTCAGAACCCCGGTACCTCCTATTGTTGCCTGATCGGCCGCTTCACCAATGCGCGCTTATGCTCCTGTGGGCGCTCTTGACCGAGAAGGTGCCTTATCAAGGCGTAGAAGACAGGCTTGTGGGGAGGAAGGTCGACCAGGGCGAGCGACCCCCTCTCGACCACGACGAATGCTTCAACAGCCTCTCGTGCGGATCCCAACTGACGGACCTCATCGGGCGTTGCTGGCACAAAGACCCCGAGGCGAGACCTTCCGCAGCCGCCGTGGTTGAGGAATTGCGGTCCATCTATCCAGGTGCGGAGATAGTCGGTTGAATCGACCGCTGGCGACAGTTCTGTTCAACAGCTAACGGATTGGTGGCGTGCGTGTCGTGTGTGTAGTTGTGCCCTGGACGGACCTGCACTTCGCAGGTGGCCAAGACGTGGACGGAGGTGGTCAACCCCGCCAGGTGCTGCAAGGCTGGTGGCAAAACGCTCCGGTCACCATCGAGGTTGTCGACATGGATGACATCACCTGTTCCCAGTTCCTCGCTCAGATCGCCATGCTCAGGTGCACTACGCTTCCCGCTGCGCCATGTGTGTACTCAGGAGTGCCTACAATGCGTCACACACGAGCTCACCAGTGGGGGCGGCAGGAACCTGAATCACGCCAACATTGTCGGGTTGCTCGCTGCGAGCGAGCAGGAGGGCAAGCAGCACGCGGGGCTCGTGTGGGAGTCAGCCGAGCATGACGACCTCCACCCAGCTTTGCCCAACGCGGACGCATGGCGGGCTCTGTCGACAAGTATGAAACTCGCCTGTGTCGCCGATGTCGCCGAGGCGCTGGACTACCTCCACTCCCAGAGCCCACCAATCATACACGGCCGTACGACCACCACGTGCCTCTTCCTGATTCGTTTCTGCCTGACGAAGTTGATCGACAGGCATAAGCCCTAGCAACGTCTTGTTGCACAGAAAAAGCACGACCAAGCTGGCTGGTTGCACTGCAGCCAGGAGCCTCGACCGCCATTGGCCAATCGACAACGCCACTCGCTCGGAACGTTCCGTCTACATGCCCTGGTGGGACGGCGAGTACTCGGACAAGACGGACGTGTTCAGCCTGGGCGTGCTCCTGTGGGAACTGTTCTCTGGGAAGAAGCACCCCACCCCACTGCTGTGCGTGCCCCGTCGCTGCGAGCATGCTTTGCTCGACGACCCGGAAACACCGCGAGCCCGGTTGGTCAGCCGGCCGCCTCTGAGCGACGCCGGCATCGTGGCTCTCTCGGTCGGCCGAGAATTGCAAAGCCTTGCCGAGCGTTGTTGCCAACTTGCGTCTGCCTCGCGGCCGTCAGCAGCAGAGGTGATGCGCGAGCTTCAGTACCTGCACTCGAGTACGTGCCTGTCGTCCATATCGTCGTGTCGCATCGCGCTGTGTTTAGCTGTCTGAACTGACCCGTCGAGGCGCTCGATTGCAGAGATCTCCGCGCACGAGAGGGGACCCGTGAGATTTGCGCCAGAATCGGTCGTCACAAGCCTTCGATCAATGTGCAGATGTACGCCCATGTGTGCGTGTGATGTGGAGATGTTACATACATGACTGACCGGGCGTTTGGAATGGCATCAGTGGTCGGCCCAGAGGACTGCTTCGAGAGGGGTGAGTGTATCAGCATCGGGACCCGCGGTGAGATCCACGAGATGGTATTGGAAGAAGGAGCCGAGGTAACCACGGTTGCCGCCCGAACTGTAAACAAGAGGCACATCACCGACGAGCAATTGCTGACGACAGTTACCCAGGCCATGTAC